ATTTCCCTCAACTTCGGTCATGCTTTCCAACAGAAAAATAGTCAGAAATTTCCTAATAACGGTAAGTTGAAGAAAGTTAATGAAACTGAGACTAGGCCTAAGTGTTATGCTACAAAGGAGGGTATAAGTTATCATTTTGGAATTAAGTGTTAAAGAAAAATTTACAGATTCAGTCATTCAAATAAATGGAAAAAGAAAATATTCAGAGAAATGTGTTCAAACACATTTTATATGAGAAGGTCTAGCTGTGCCATTGGTGTATTTCTTAAGTACTTTTTAAAATGAAATTGGCGGACTTGTGCTTTATACAAATTTGAAAGTCATTTGTATAATGCACACTTTCTTATCCATTGTCAGTTATTTGAAGCCAAGTTATAAGGCTGAGGCTAGAATGTCATCAGAATTATTGCAGAAACTGAAATTTGAGAACAAATCCATTATAACATAGAAAACTGAGATAAGTTTGTGAACAGGTGTTTCATACGAGTTGTACGATAGCTACAAATCAAATAAAGTGCAATTGATCATAGTAAAATATAAACACAATCATCTTCAGATATTTATTTTGTACCCAAGTTGTATTGTTAATTTATAAATGTTAAAGAGAACTATTACATGTAGTAGTGTATAACATATAAACATGACCTTAGTGTATCACTGTCACAGATTCCACATCAAATATCAAAATCAGGATATTAATTTTCTAAAATATTGTTTAGAGATTGTGTAGAAATATTGCATTTGAAAATTTATCATTAAAGTTACAAAAGGAATTTAGAGTCAAAGTGATTGGTTCTTTTCATACTATTTTTTTATTTAAAAATTCAGAAGGGGTGTTTCTGTGATATATATTATCCTATGTGGAAAAAATTACGTCACCTGGAGACCTTTTTGTACTGAAGTACACTATCAAAGTTTGTCTGAGCTAAAGTCGTGAGGAAAATGAGGCTTGATTGGTCCCACTGTGTCACAGAGTGCCTGATTTTATGTCTATTTATTTATGTGTGCTAGTTTTAGTTTTCGGCCAACACTGAATTGCTTCCCCTTCCATTAAGAACAATGGGGCCTTTTCTGTGGTAATTGTAAGTGAAAACATATCTATATACCTATATAAATATACATGTATATACATTGTACATCTCACGTAGATAGGTTTCTGTTTAATGATTATATGTAATATAGATATATATACATAAATATATTTTGTGTTTGTTAACTGTTCAAGTCTGCTGAGAGAGAATAAAGTCCCTTAAATATATCATTTTGTTTTGTCTTTTAATACTAATGCTGTGATTACTGGGAGCAGACTGATATACTGGTGCATGCAGAGTGATAAAGTGGACGGCACTGATACAGTGTAAGGTGTTTGAGATATTTACAGCTTTACTGTGACATATATTGTCTGTCAAAATATTTCACTTCTAGAAACATGTATAAATCAGGTAAAACTAGTGGCTCACCTGCTCAAAGGGCAAGTGAGGTGATATGCCAGGCGCTGCATCCCTTGTTCTGAAGAACAATTTGTTCTGAGGAACCAACAGGTGTAGTTCTGAGGAACCAACAGGTGTAGCGTTATGCTGTTTGCATGCTGTAGGATGCCTGAGGAACCAACAGGTGTAGCGTTATGCTGTTTGCACCCTGTAGGATGCTAGGATGAAGGTCTATCAAGTTGTTCAAAGGAATGACTGTGGCCCACTGTCAATGTCACATGGGTCACATTTAAAAGGCATCTGAGTAATTAGGAGGTCTATAGGTTTGGCCTGTAGCATGCTTGGGGTGAAATTATATGAAGTTGTTTGGGTCAAAGAGGTCAAATGACTGATATTTTGGGACATCTTTGGAATAACTCAGAGACACAAGGTTATGATGTTTGGAAAGTGGCATGATAGGATGATTGGCTTTTGTGTTCAAATGTGTTAAAGCTTTAAACTGCCTCTTCTGGGTAACTAAGAGAACTAGGCTTTAGACTATCATATTTAGTCTGTATCCTGCTGGGTTATAGGGCTATCAAGTTGGATTTTAAATTAAGCTAGCATTCAATTTATTTCCAATAAGATAATTGTTATTTATGTTTAGTGAATTTAAATCGAGGGTGTCAGCCAACAATGCATACATTGTTGTTGTCTAGCTCTTGCCAAGTGGAGGCCCCCTCTGTAAGAGCCAAACGAATTTAGTCTGCCGAAGTTATTACCGAAATTTCACTATAAAAATTGTCCAAATTGAATACAATGTTTTAAATTATAAAACCATAAATGTCCAAATCTGTAAAAACTGTTCACATTATATGATACCCTACTGCTGCTCTGCCGTCGCTCTCGGGGAATAGACGTGCCCAACCCTCTTCGGGAACGCCGAGGTGGAGATGGCATCCTGGTCGTACTGGTCCCACAGCTCCGCTACCTTCCCCTGGATTCGGCGGTAGGTCGTCCTCTGGTGCCTCTGGAGTGATGACTCGGACACCAGTCTCATCTGGATGCTGACATGTGAGCCTTCCTTCAGGAGCAGGGCAAATTGGCCAGTCCCAATAATTGTAACACTTGTCCAATGGCTTGCTTCTAGATAACACACTATCAATTTGATTGCATTAGATTACCTTAAACAACTCTGAAGGTCGCGAGAGTGAAACACGTTAAAATCCTCAAAGATCGACAAGGTTGTTTGTCTCTCAGTGTTAGCCAATTGCGTATGCTTGTTTGCATAAATTGATCGTTGCTTTAATTGTTTTGAAGATCACAGATGTAAAAAATAGTTGCCAACAGCATTTTAAACATCTAAATCCAAAGGTTCCGCTCTAGATATAAACAGTATTCTCTGTATCGTAGGGATATGTCATGACGAAATCGGGAACACTGAGCTGATACCGGTCTTTTGAAGATTACTGAGGAGCTACACCCAACTTCAAACCCCGTTGATTTTACCGTTACCCTATCGTGCAATTAACCTTCGTCAAAGACACCAGACTAGTCCAACATCCGCAGGCTCAGGGACCTGAGAATTTGTTACAGCTATAGTTGGACATTTCTAGTTGATCTTCGAGGAAATGCTTATTACCGTGAGAAAGATGGATATTTTTTCTTTTAAAAACCTCCTATATGCACGTAAAATGTATTATCCTTCCGCGGACATGAACTCTGTTTCCTCCAAAAACACACGCCATTTCATGATCAGTTTCAAAGTTTTTCGCCACTTTTTTGAATATGGTATTTTTTAAATTTTGATATTAGGCATGTTTTTGTATATGATCTAGAAATGTGGTTGTTAATGAAAGAGTTAGGTGTGGTCAATTTTTCGACATCGAAAGTTTTCCTCCCTTCTCGTATATATCGTCATTGGGAAGGCAATTTATCGAAAGTTGATCTAAAACGATAAAACGTGTAAAATTACTCTGAACACTTAATTTTAGGTCCAAATATAGCTGTAACAAATTATCAAGTCCCTGTGGAGAAGATGTGTTTATCGAGAGCGGAACACGTGGATAAGCGACATGTATACATGCCCGATCGGCGGTTGAATGATGACGCGGTTTTAGTAACATATGTGTGCAGAATAATGAACGCTGTCAATGGCGATGTCCATATATTAATCAATCTTCCGCAAAGGCTACAGGCTATTTTCAAAATCTCTTCCCCGCCTGAATGAAGTAAACAATACCTTTTATTTTCATAGTGTATAATTTTTCATGAAAAAGAAAGCGTTTGTTGCCATTAATGTCTTCTATTTAATTCTTAAATTTTAATTGATGTTGTCGATCAGCTGACTCTGAATAATAATTGATGTTGTCGACCTGACTCTGGGTAATAATTGATGTTGTCACACCTGACTCTGGGTAATAATTGATGTTGTCACACCTGACTCTGGGTAATAATTGATGTTGTCGACCTGACTCTGGGTAATAATTGATGTTGTCACACCTGACTCTGGGTAATAATTGATGTTGTCGACCTGACTCTGGGTAATAAGCGCAGGCTTTGTTTCTGTCAATAAAAAATAGTCCTGACCAAACAAAACACACCCTACTTATAAAATTGGTATATTTAGCTCACCCGGTCCGAAGGACCATGGTGAGCTTATGCCATACCACAGCATCCATCGTCCTTCGTCTGTCATCCGTCTGTCCGTCCGTCAATTTTCCTTTAAGACGCTAGTAGTACTGAACGGCCCAATAGAGGAAATAGAGGAAAACCATTCTTCTTCTACCGATAGAGGGATTTTATCATAATTTAGTCTTGAGCATCCTTGGGCAAGGGGACTCAATTTTGAATAAGTGGTGTGTTTGGATCCCCTGGGAGCAGGGGGCAGGGGGCAGGGGGCAGAGGGCAGAGGGCGGGGCCATGCGGTCAAAGTTCAACTTTAAGTGCTAGCCGGAGTCAAAGGTCAACGTGGGTTAAAAGTTTTGAAATTTAAATTTCAAATTTTAAACGAACAGTATCTTCAAAACCATTTAAGAGATGTTAAAATGTCCTGTGTTCTAGTTACCAAATACGGTCTTAAGTTACCTACATGACAGTTTCATGTAACAAAAGAAACACATGAGCGATACAAGCCCTCGGGGCCTCTTGTTAAAAAGACATCGGCCTTAATGCCTTATGTTCGACTACGTTTACCTGGCTATGTGTTTTTGAATAGCCAATGTACAAGTTCAATATATACAAATACTTAATAAGTTCCGATTTTGAATTGAGGTCTTTAATGACTTATCAGGGGGTTGAAATTGTAGGTGACTACAGCATCTATTAGGGGACTTGTTTATTTGTCGTATCATGGTATATTTGTCGTATCATGGTATATTTATTTGCATTAGACATTAATGCCAATAGTATAGCGAAGACAATAAAATGTGATAATTTTAAAGGGATCGTTGTCGTCACTCGCGAACTTTAATTTTACATCAGCCCTATATAATATAATAGGCCTATATTTAAGCAGAGGTTATTTAGTTTCAATAGAGGTGAAGTCAATATCCAAATTGCAGCATAAACAATTGCAATTTACGATATGTATAACATATTTTCAGCACCACTTGAAAACGTTCTATTCTATTACAGTTTCCTGCATTTGGCTAACCTTGGCCGAGTCCGGTACCCTTTATCTGCCGAGATGTGACAATTGCAGTTTCCTGTTCGAACGCACCCCAAGGGGAGAAAACTCATTACGGAAGAGGCGGGAGTTATAATCGTAAGTAAACAAAAACACCTTATCAGCTGATCATAAGAAATGAAACTGAGGTAGGCATCTCCCCTCCCTCACAATATCCATTGGTAACACTATATACTATAGGAATTATGGCACAATAATGTATATATTATTGTTTGTCATTCCAAACACAATAAAAAATATATACATTGTAGCTGTGGGAGTTCCCTAGTGTGCTTGGATCAGTTGCCTGCGTTGACGATTGGCCACCAAGCCCCCGTAAAACACACCTTGACATGTAATACATTGAAGGGCCAAGTCTAGTACAGCTAAGGACACATGCACTGTATCACAGATGCAAGTGTCAAATAACTCAAACACCTCTGCACAGTATAGTACTTTGCACAGGTGAGGCATTGGCTTTGAATTAAATTGGGGATTTACTATACACATAATGTACTGATGTGTATAGTACAACCCCCTTTAATTTTAGGTAGATATATATACCTATAGATGCATCCCCCCATGGCCACTTAACTTGAGGATTCCGGGCATGAGTATGTACATTATTTTGTACCACTGCCAAAAAAAATCTCTGCATGCACTGGAAAACGATTTTGATGGCATCACTATAGCTATAGCTTTAATAATTTCTGAAAAGAAAATTATACCTTTTGGGACTTTCATGAAAAATAATAAGTATGAATAAAAAAAACACGAAAATCAACAGTAGTATTTTTGATTGTTAATATTCAGAGGGACTATAGACCGTGATTCGAACCCTGGATTTCAGATTGTCATACTATCGTTCTAACTGGCTGAGCTTACCTGTGAACTGGTCAATGGAATACAAGTGGTGAGGCCCAGGTGTGCTAGAGTTGTGTCAAAAATGAAATTTATATACTGAATCCATTGCACAGGATCCCTAAGTAATAAAGATTTTGTAATTTTATTCATTTTGATTGCGGTGTTTTAGATGAGTGGAATAAGGAAAGAGAGTACAGTTAAGAGTGTTCCTGCGAAATGTGAAGAATGGCTAACTACCAGGAACAAGAGAAAGGTTTGTACATTAAGGCAAATAACGTTAACAAGAGTGACTACTTCCTGTTCTATAAAAAAATGTTTATATACTGATACTTTCGAACATGACCCAGATAATGAATCGGAAAGATTAGGGAACTTGAAGCCAAAGGAAAATAAGGACGCTCAGGAGACTGGCAACAGGAGTCTTCAAATGGTTTTTTTATGTGAAATGGAAAATAATATAATATAATGGGATTATAGAAATTAATTTAAAAAAAATAACTTTAACTAACTTGACTGGGAAAAAATATAGTGTACATGTATATACACCCTTCCCAGCCCACTCACTTCCCCCTGCATGGCTGTATTAGGAGACTAATATGGGACTAAATGAGCAGAATAAGACTTCTTTCTGTGTTCTAGCTCTATATATAACTACATATGTTTAGCTAACTGATGAAATGGAAGAGACAAATTTGATCAGATTAACTTATATACCATTGAAACAGTCTGGTATTTTTGTACAAATGTATCCTTCCAAATTCCAATAATACTTTTCTTCAATTTCTATAGTTTACTTCATTTGCTGTCTTGCTATCCACAGTGGCGGATCCAGAGACCTATCTAAGGGGGTTTCCAAATTTCCTGGGGGGGTTTCCAAGTGGGACAAAATTGAGGAAAATGGTGAAAATACATGATTTTTAAAGAAACTTCTCCGGCTGGGGGGGTTTCCTGAAGCCCAATAAACCCCTCTGGATCCGCCACTGATCCAGCAGGACTCTGATACATGTTTAGGGAAACAAGTTGAGAATTGGGTAGAGTCTGTTGGAAGGAGTTATTTTACTTTAAAAATGGAGATGTATTTTCAACTGTATTTTAACATTGCTTTAGTTACATAATTAGTTAATTAAATGATTATCATAAAACTGATCAGTTAATGCCATATTCTAGATGTAAAAATATATCAACTCAGTCATGAAACAAAAAAATATAAAAATGTTGATGAGCCATTTATGACTTTACATGTTTAAATTTAACTCTTATAGACAGTGTTTTCATGAATGTGATTTTGGTTGTTTTACTGCAGGCATCACCAGTTCAAAAACCCATTAAAAAGCACAAGGCCTCCTCCACTCCTCTGAGGGAAATCACGAGGGACAACCAACCATTTCTGTTGACCCAGAACTCTCCACCTCCACCTCAACTCAAGACATGCACAAAGCAGAGTGACATTAAGTCTTTCTTCAAGTCACAGAATCAAACAGGTTACTTTTGTATCACACTTTATTCCACTATATAGGGTTCTCATTTTGTTTAGGTCATGGGGCCTATACTTCTCTCGTCTTATCTAAAGGTGTTGGCAAAATGTTTTTAGCTAGAAGTGATGTAATTATTTTTCATGCATTTCTTATACCAAAGTAAGTTAAAATATGTCAAGTAGTTGTACATGTAGGGCCCTGTTGCTTTGCCCCAGGAGCAGTAGGAGACAGGGAATACAATTGTTAAGTTAAATAAAATTACTTGTTATTAAAATCTCCATGGCCCAGGGATGCTTTTTATACTAGATTTAGTGAAAATTTAGAACTTGATCCATAATTTATTATGATGGTTTTATTTAACAGTTTTCCCTTTTATCCTATTAGGTCTTGTTGTTTTTTATTCCTAAGTGGGGAGACGGAGCAAATTCTCATTTGTATTGTTTCAGCAGTTTATTTACATTGCCAGATAACTAATTCAATTCCGTTTGAACAATAATACTTTTTTATTTTAGATCACCACGGTAAACTAAAAACTCCTGTACAATTGACATTTAAAGACGATGAGGGAATCATTTCTTCTGATGATTCAGATGAAGAAGATCTCAAAGAAAACCTGAACTTAAGATCACAAAATAGTCCTCTAGATAAGGGAAGTATTTTTTCAAGGAAACAAATCCAAACTTTGGATGATGAAGAGAGTAAACCTCAATATGTTCAAAAAGAATCTGAAAGGAACGAACATTTCAAGTCAATATACAAGAATGACAACGTGGTTGATTCACCTTTTAAAAGAGGTAATTGTGGAAACCTGATTGATCAGTGTGTTGGAAGTAGAAAGATACAAGTACACAAACCTGTACATAGAAGGGATTTAATACGTAAAGATATTCATACAGAAACAACATCTCTTCTATCCTCAAATAGGAAAGAAGTTCATCACATGTCATCTTCATCTAAAGGAAAGTATTGTTTTGATAAAGACGATGAAACAAACCATGAGCAGGAACGTTTGGAACAAAAAAAGATATCTCATAAAGAAGATTGTGAGTTCACTGAAATAGAATTCAGCATGCCTGATATTTGTTCAGTGGCAGCAAATAAAAACTCTAAAGATAAACGGTTAACATGTGACAGATTTACATGCCCAGTGTGTTGTGATGTGTCACCAGAAAGTCTGGCTTGTAGCTGTGACAATACATCTTGTACAGAGACATCAACAGATCAGTGTAATCGCCCTCAACTCATCAACTCAGAAGAGGCTGACCAGGAACTTGACAATTTTTCTTTGTCTTTAAATACACAATATTTTACTTGAAATATATGTAGTTATTTTATTTGTGATAAACAGCTGCCAGTTACTGTATGACATGATACGTACGTGGCTACTTTGTTTTAAATCTATTTAGATTGTTGTCAATACAAACTTTTGTGGATATACCTAATACAAGTATATAAACAAATAGTAGACAAGTATATCATGTAAACTTGTACAGTGTATATATTTTCATGGTTCCGTAACAGCCAAAAAAAACCCACGAATGGTTCTATGCAGGGAACATTTTTACGTCATGAAATACACTGACACTGTACTAGCAAAGGGAGAGACACATCATACATAATGTAGTACAGTATTAGGATGTAATGAATGGGAGATGCTGCTTCCAGAGCAATACAGACACACTTCCTGTGGTCCAGATTTCATACAGTCAGTTGCATGTGTAATTGTAACATGTTTCATTTAACACCAACACCTTACCTGTCATGTCCTTTCTTTGTTATAAGTTTGAATAAACTGATCAGTCTAATGGCTCTCATCTCATCAACTCAGAAGAAGCTGAACAGGAACTAAACAATTTGTCTTTGTCTTCAGATACACAATATTTTACTTTAAAAATTCAAAGGCCAAGTGAGCTTATTCCTTAGCGCGGCATCCCTTTAAACGACTTCTTCTGAATAACCAAAAGGTCCAGGGTGTTGATATCTGACCAGTAGTATGCTTGGATGAAAGGATTCCAAGTTTGTTGAAATTAATGACCTTGGCTTATATTCAAGGTCACAGGGGTCAAATATGTTTGAAACATTTAAACGACTTCTTCTGAATAAACATAAGGCAAAGAATGTTGATATCTAGCCAGTAGCATGCTCGAATGAAGGGCTACCAAATTTGTTCAAATGAATGACCTTCACTTATATTCAAGGTCACAGGGCCAGGGTCAATTGTCTTAAAAAATCTTAAAACAACTTTTCTGAATAACCAAAATGCCCAGGGTGATGATATTTGACCAGTAGCATGCTGAGATGAAGGGCTACCAAGTTTTTTCAAATGAATGACCTCCACCCAAATTCAAGCTTAATGTCACAGGGGTCAAATATGTTAAAAACTTTAAACAACTTCTTCTGAAATAACCTAAATGCCAAGGATGTTGATATTTAGTCAGTAGCAGACTAGGATGAAGGGCTACCATGTTTGTTTAAATGAATGTTATTGACTTATATATAAGGCCACAGGGGTCAAATATGTTTGAAACTTTAAAATGACTTCTGAATAACCATATTATTTAGTCTGGATAACCAGACTACTAGAATGTGTATATCTGGCCAGTATTATGCTGGGATCAAGGGCTACCAAGATTCGTAAATCGAATGACCATGACGTTGTTATATTAAAGGTCACAGGGGTCAAATTTGTTTAAAATCTTTTAAACAACTTCTTCTGAATAACCATGAGTCCCAGAATGTTGATAATTAGCCAGTAGCATGCTTGGATGAAGGGCTATCAAACTTTTTCATGTGAATGACCTTGACCCACCTTCAAGGTCACATTTTGTCAAATATGTACCTGGTTTAAACATTTAAATTACCTAATTTTAATAAACAAAATGATAAGAGTGGTGATATTTTGCAAATTGCATCCTGAGATGAGGGGCTATAAAGTTTGTTCAACATAATGACCTTGTTCGACTTTCAAGTTTAAAGGGGTGAAATGTTTTTGAATCTTTTAACAGGTTCTTTTGAATGACTTTTAATCATAAATACTGATATTTTGGCTGTAGCTTTGTTAAAGATCACTTTTAAGGCTACAAGTGTGAGATTAATATCAGGTGAGCGATGCAGGCCCATTGGACCTCTTGTTTTATTTGTGATAATTATATGTAAACAGTTATTGTCTGACCATCATATAACCTTTCAGGTATACTTAGTGACGTCAACAACTAGTTTCGACATTTTTCATGTCACAGACTCAAAGAAGTACATTGTGTGCTGGTTTTTTCCCCAGTTAAAATGAGTAACACAACAATTATGATGGGCAAAGTTCATTTTATTTACAAAAATTAACTGGACACATTCATAGATTCTGAAGACCAGTTTTAGTTTTCAAAGAATCTGTTGTTTCATCAGTTTCTATCCCAGGTATAGCAGAATACTAGTACCATTTTCAAAGTCATTGAGATCAACAAATGAAAAGTTGAAAAGTTACTATATTTATCAACCAAAAAATGGCTCCAGATTTAATCATCATATAGCACTGTGTGGGAGAATCAATTTACCATAAACATGTACAAGACACATGTATCACGCGTGAAACACTCTTGTCCACTACTAGTATTTGAAGTAAGTCTCGCAACATCCAGAGCCTTGGTTTGTATATACGTAATTCTAGATCTACACCCCTGAATTATTATTTACATATTCTCCATATCTACATATGTTGGTTGACTCCGATCAATAACATTGCTGGTGAAATATTCTATTATATATTTGGCTGATATCTTACTTTTATTACATTTATATCTGCTTTAAAAACTACTGGCTAAATGAAATCTTTAATTTATATCTCGCAGATATAATATCCTAGTTTGTATGTCTACCTGTGACTCAGTTGCTCGGTTAGAGTATGAAGGTCCTGGGTTCGAATCCTAGTCTGTCCCCATTACAATTTGTGTTTTTTTCTGTTAAGCCAGTAACATATGCACATATTCATCTGTTGATTTACAAAGATGTTAAAATCCAAAACATCATTCTCAACAAATGCCAGTGTTTAAAATAAGAATCTTCTGCACATTTTCCAGCTCTATTATCAATAGTTCATTGTAAATCATAATGTCCACAATATTTTGTATTTTCAATCTATGGCCTCTCCCTCCAGTTTCTTCTTCCGTAGCATTGCTAGACGTTCCATCCAGCGCTTCATCTTTTCTTCTGGGTCAACATGTAACTGGAATTATAAATATGTGTATACCTAAATGGGTATGTAACGTATTTCAGATGACAAATGAAAACAACAAAGTAAACAATTCTACAGCAATAATAAACCTGAAAACTTTAAACAGCACTGTATGTAATGTTTTGTTTTCTTTTAAAAACTAACATCAGAATTTAGATTATTGTCCATATACTTGTAGCCTAAGTATCTAAATAGCAAAAATGTGTAGGTTTATTTTTTCTTCTCAATCGTTCAACAGCTTAACATTTAATTTTAGTTTTGGACATTACAGTACTAAATTGATGTGATGTGTAATTTAAGTTACATTAGAGAATTGTTTTTGTGAAAGAAAAATTATGTCCACCCTTTTAACGGTTTAAAAGTTACAACACGGACAAGATATTCCTGAAAATTTTGAAGGCAGTGCACTGTAAATGGTCTGTGGGTGATGCAAATATACTGCAAGTTTTATCTGGATTTCTTTGACTTAGCACTTATTTTACCTTATTATTAGAAAAACTGCCTACTGCTAAATTATTAACTGCACATATGCAGAAGTTCTAATTGTAATGGGGACCATTACAGAAGTCCTCAAAACTGACGCCATAGTCGCAAATGGTGCTTGGATAGAGTTTACAACGCTATCATATACTTGAATACTAAGTTTAAGCAAAATTAGTGCGGGACCGTTGGCATCACCTTGACATACACCTTTAAATGTTCGAAACAATCAACTTTGACTTTGACTTTGAGGTAAAGGCCACAATGACCTAATGACAATGTATTGTACATCATCTGTAGGTGATGCTGTTACACTGCGAGTTTCATCAAGATATTTTTAACGGTTAAAAAGTTACAGCCTGGATAAATGTTCCTGAAAATTTTGCACATCTTTGACCTTTGGGTCAAGGTCACAATGACCTAATGGCAGTGCACTCGCATCATCTATTGGTGATGCAGGTATACTGTAAGTTTCATCAAGATATCATTAACAGTTTAAAAATTACGGCCATAAGATCATATTAGAAGAACCAGAACTAATACAATATGTCTCCCTTCATTCGAAGGGACGACATCATAAACAAGTCTTGAATAGAACACACTTAAGCAGTTTTTTTGAAGAGCAAAATTCAACCTCAAGTGTTCTTAAAACTTTTTTTAGCAAGAAGTTTTACATGGATATTTTTGTGTGATTTATACAGTTATGTAAATTACACAATTTTAATGTGGCTAGCAGTATTAGGAAGACTTGGTGGGAGAGTTCTATACTCAAAGGACACCATTATGCTAGCCCGAGTTTCCTCTAGCCCTGACACCAGACTTAGACATTTTGACAAATAGATGTCTGGTGTTGGGCTTAGAGTGCACTGCTATGTGAAAACATGGAAGTCTACGGGGCCAGAGGAAACTTGGGCTAACCATTATGCATGATATTGAACAAATTATCATTACATGGGATTATAATGCAACACATTTTAGGGAGTTTTATACAAACGACAAATGGGAAGGGACAAGTTTCAGTTTTTTTCATATGTTAACCAAAGTAGTACACTGCACATGTGAAAATATTTCAATCATTAGATTAGAGAAAACACAGGAAAACACCCTCAGTTTTGCCTTTGCCATGTATTTGTGACATTGTTATTGTTTATGCGACACTGCATAGCAGCCCAAGGACACTGATCAAGTCACTGGAAAGTCATCCTCGATATCCAGGGGTTAGGCTCACTTTCGCTCTCTACACCCCTAGTTTGGTCCTTTGATGTACATAAAAATCTTCAAAGGACAAGTATCAGACTAGTGATTGGTCAGGTTTTTTTACACCAATCAAATAGCTAGCCGTGTGCCTTCATTTTTGCTATGACATATTCCAGGGGTGCATAGAGGGAAAGTGAGCGTAACCCCTGGATATTGAGGATGCTGCAAAGTGTACATTTCTTTTCCTTTTGGATCAGACAGATGAGGAGGGAATGTCAACTACATCCCTTCTTGGAAAACCCCCACAAACTAAGTTGGTTAATTATATAAGTTGACCTTATCGTATGGAAAGGTGACAAATGTAAATGACCTTGGTATGACAAGTAGACATGTAAATGACCTTGGTATGTCAAGGTGACATATGTAAATGACCTTGGTATGGCAAGGTGACATACAAATGACCTTGGTATGACAGGTAGACATATGTCCTTGATATGGCAATGTGAAATATGTAAATGGCCTTGGTATGACAGACAGACATATGTATATGACCTTGATATGGCAAGGTGACAAATGTAAATGACCTTGGTGCATCAATGTTACATGTATATGTTAATGACCTTGGTATGACAGAGTAACAGGTAAATGACCTTGGTATGACAGAGTAACAGGTAAATGATCTGGGTACAATATGGTGACATACATTTGGGTGAGACAGCGTGTTCAGGTCATGTATGATGAGAGGTTTCCGTGGGGTCATGTCAGCTCGGATCTCACCAGCAGTCCCAAACAGGAAGTCATCCTTCTTGTCATCTGCAGCGGAGCGCTCCTTTGAAAATAAATTGATTCATTATACCAGTATCATTAGTATTAACAATAATATAAAACTACATTTAGATTCTTAGTTATAATGTTTTGTTTGTGCTAACATTTCCAAAGAACAACGCTTATTTCTGCCTTCAGCAAGAAATCCTGGAACCATGCCTGTAGTTTGCACTTTATTGTCTACTTTCTTCAGTACAGGTAGTAGTGGTACTAGACAATTTTAGAGAAAAAATATATTATGTTGTATTAGAATGCCAAATGTCTTTTAGGAAAAGAACATGGGTTTATATTTACCACACAATATGTTGCTGAACAAATGATAGCTACCATGTGCCTACTACAAGTACTCGTCCTGGGAGAACTATCATTTTGATATTCTAACATTTATTATGTCTAACTAATGATAGTACAAACTGAATGAAACCATCATTAACAGGAAAGGGTAGCAAAGCTGTTTGTCAACAATTTGGTAATGATGTCATCTTCTGAGAGAGAGGTTACAAGTATGGCAGAATATTGACAATTTTCACAATTGCGCGATGGAAAATAAAGTTCTCTCATTTCCTTGTGTGTAAGATAGAGCTATCCAGGGTAGGAAATTTCTATCAAACATCCCATTTCACATGACGTGAAGTCACAATGGCTCAACAATGACGTGAGGTCACGAGCTTGGAAAAACTCTGATGCCGCAATGCAGAAAATGCAACGTGATGAAACTAAAACCTTTTCCGAAGTATTTACCTTACATGTTACAAAGATGAAATTATTTTTTCTGCGCAAACCTTGTTTGCATATACATGTATGGGGTATGCTTAATCGCACTGACAGATTTGTTTTTGTCTAAAATGCTAAGGGGAAAGTTGATATTTTCAAAACGGTAGCCAGTCCAATCGCATTTTGATGGTTTCTGAGCTTATTCTGGTAGTGGGAATGAGAAAAAAATACTCTTTCATGCCCAGGGGTGTAGGATCGGGAAACTCCAACCTCTGGATTTTCAAATTTGGCAAAACCCTCGGCAAAGCCTCGGGTTTAGCAAAATTTGAAAACCCTCGGGTGGAATTTCCCTATCCTACACCCCTGGGCATGAAAGAGTCTGATAATATTCTGCCATACGACTGACAAATATACATGTATATGGTATTCACATTAGAAGACCATTGAATTATTCTATTTATTACACTTTTTAAAGTAACATGATACAAATATTTCTACGTAGAAATGTTTGACGCCAGGTTCTAATGACGTTGCACTTTACGACAAGGTTCAGCGCCATTTTGAATGGGTTACCCATTGTGATTCTGCTGTTTGCTGTTAATATCTGGTAAGATTTCCCAACAAAAATGATATTAATTGTGCAGTTATGTAAATAACATAATGTGTGTTGCAAAAGTGCACCAGAACAACCTCTTATTTTGTGATAATCTTTGTTGATGATACTGAACATATTACACACAACCATTCACCTGATGGCTTGATTTGAAAGGAAGCAGAATGTGACGAACTGTGCCAAAATTGTGTCAACTTTAACAACCGCAAAATCACATCACAACGCAGCAACATGAAATAAGCTCAACATGTTGGAAAGCAATTGAGTTTTTTAAATCAGTCAAAGGATTTATCCTAACATGTTTTATGAAGACTCCTTTATATATATGTATGACAGTTTAATCTGGTATAAATCTTGCCCCATGTCCCATTATGATGATGTGATTGTCCTCATAAGTTGGGTTCAAAACCTACTGATCTGTTGGACTTGAAACTTGTTGGCACAAAACTGGAGCTCTCAATGTCTTTGACTGCACTGGAGAATTTCATCTGGTCCTCCACTGTGGACGCTCCGCCAAACTGACTCTCCTTAATCTGATCCTTGATCCTCTCGTCTGCTGCAGCTGTGCACCAAAAGGAATAGTTAAATATGTATGACCTGTACAGCATTTATTTCAACTATGCAAACTTTGGTGATGATGCACCAAAACCAAATTAGTGGTGTTATATTTAACGCTTCACTGTTACTACATTTGTATCTTTGATGTCACAAATGTATTATGCGTTTTGCTTTGTCAAAAAGGCTAGATTGTTTTCATTAAGTGTGAACTACATTTCACTCAAAGCAAATGCTTCACAGATACCCCCACTCCCCACATACATGTATCTACATAGTCTGGAGCCTGTGAATTCATGAAACTGAAGCTGCATAAACCTGAAATACACTAATTTTAGAGCTTGAAGTCAAGGTCATAGGTCAAATGAGGTCAGTGACAACCTTTTAGGTTGTGACACACCACCTTCCCATGATGTACCTATAAACATTTGATTCCAATTCATGACACAGCAGCAGAGATATGCTCTGGAAACCATTATTTCAGTACCTTGAGGTCAAGGTTAAAGGTAAAATGACCTTGTTTATAGATGCGACACACTGTCTATGTGATGAAACTTTACGAAAAGTTGGACACTCATTTGTGAAACAGCGGTTGAGATATGCTCCGGAAACCGAAATCAGCATGATATGGATGGACAGTTGTGAGGACAAAGCAAATACATGTATACCCAAACTTCATGGAAGTGGGTTTTGGTAAAAATATATGAGTGTTTGAATCCAAATATTAATATGAACATGAAAAATCCATTTTAAACAAATTAAGCTGTTTGACAGAGATTTTTATGTCAGCAAATCAACAATTTCTTTTCTTACTTACCAGCAGCCTTCAGAGCCAACTGCAGCCTCAGTTTGCTCTTCTCAGCAGGTGTCTACAAGTAAAACATGTGTTCTATATTTAGGAAAATAACAATTGGGTGAAAGTGTTTAGATTATGTGTAATTCCAGTAAACAACTCTTGTGTTTTGTATTTTTTTCAGGGAAGATAAAAGGACACCTGATCACAAGCATACCATATTGTGTTTATTTTGTTTTACCTACATTGTGCACAGTATACTGTATGTTTTCTTAAATAGATATACCTGATACAATGATTTTGTTTGGATTTTCAAAAAACCCATTCTAATAAGCTTTTCTTTACAGCAACAATATCATAGTATTGTAAAAACTGAATAATTAAAGAAAATGAAAGAAAGGTATTTGTTCTACTGTCATGGAAGTATTAACACGTTACATTTACACATATTTACAATGACTTAAGAGCTATCCTGCTCATGGTACGAGTCTGTTCAGCTCTTCACTTCATATTGACAATGAAACCTATAACCTTCATTTTTCTTATTTCAAAAAGAAACCCAGTTCTGGGTAAACAGCAAGGATTCACAGAATCATGCAAGGCCACCATGCCATTGTATTGTGAATAAGTCTTTCTTACCATATCATGGAAACCGGGAATCATTTCAGCAGGATCTCTGAAAAAAGATACATTCTAATTAGTCTAGTATATATGATGAAGACTTTCCTGATGTACACTTTTAAAAACAATATTGTCAGCCACTTGTTCTTGTATAAACTCCTATTCAAAATGGTATACAAATTCAATTTTTCTTTGAAATTAATGTAACAATGATATACTCTATTGTCAAATGTGGATTATTCTAGGCTACAGAAATAACGTTACTCATGCCAATATTCTATATAAAGAGGGTAGAAATCTGTTGGTTACTTAGTAGCTGTGATTTTCAATATTAATACAGTACATGTATATAGAAGAAATTCAATGGCTTCCCATTGCGTATCATATTCTCAGCAGGATATCAATATTTTCACGAGTGTGAAGCACAGTGTATTCTGTCGTATGAGTGAAATATATAATGTACTATAAAGAGCTTTAATTTCAGAACGTTGATGTTTGCCTGATAACAAGGCTGTTTTGCCATTTTTATTTTTATTTTTGCAAAAGCGGTAAGGGTCTAACCCTGAATTGATGTATTGATTTTGTCATAAAAAAAAATCATGTTTCTTGAAAAACAACTTGTATGACTTAATGAGATTGACTTACTCTTTACCGTCCTTCCCTCTTGATGAGGAAGATGGGCTGGCAGAGTTGTATCTGCTGGAGCTTTTTACTCTGTCCAGCGATCTTGATCTCCTAGTTGATAACGAAGCAAATAATAATCATTATAAATTATTTAAATAAAGTGTGAAATTTAATATGTATATAATAACTAAGTGTTACTTCTTATGTTGTAACGCCATGGATGGGTAGTTATTGTATAAGAAAAACTGAATTAGTTACCGTAAAAACCCATGTAATTTGCGCACCTGTGTAATTTGCGCGGGTACTTTTTGAGGCTGAAAATCGGGAAAAAGCTTCTACTCGAATATTTTGCGCACCCAAAAAATCTGGAAAAAAACGATGTTCATGCTCCGAAAATCGATCTCTGAATATTTTTTTTTAAAATATATTTCTATGATTTTTTTTCATTGATGTAAAATGATATTTAAAACCAAGAAGAAACTACGTAAAATGTGTATTTTGTTGCTTGTTTTCTTTGAATTATCTGATCACACATGACACACGTGTGTGCATATCGGCATACATCAATTCATTTTAGCAATATTTTACATTAACATTTACTTGCTTACAAAACATATCAATTAATAAGTAATTCGATGTTTAATAACCGCTGGTGCATATCTCCTGGTGAAAGACATAATTAGATACCTTTTATTGATCATAATTACGATCAGTGAGAAGGGCTCATCATGGC